TTTTTTTTTTTTTTTTTTTTTTTTTTTTGGTACTGGGGGATTGAACTCAGGTCCTTGTGCTTGCAAGGCAAGCACCGGAACCACTGAACTAAATCCCCAGCCCCCTAAGTGGGCAGTTTTTGATTTCTCAAGGCTTTCAGTTAAAATACACCTGTCTTCTGACAATTAAGACCATTAATGCATAAGAAAAGTAAAACTGTAAGCACAAATAAATTAGCCTGGAAATTATTAGGCTGCTCATTTATAGCAATTTCAAAAGGCAAGAATGAGGATATTAGATTAATGAAAAGACAATTAGGTTTAGTTACATTCTATATCAATAAAGTATATAAATGTGTGATCACAATGTATACCCAAAATATGCCAATAAACTTAATGAAAAAAATGTCACCAGGTATACAAATTTTGATAATATAACTTAAAAATTTAATTAACTGAACAGAAAAGGAATAATGTGAGACAACAGGAAAGCTAGATTTTTGTTTCAGTGATCCTCTTAACTGCATAACTTTGTTATTTAATTACTACTCTGGGTTTAAAAAAATTTTTTAAAGGAATTATATCAATTATACTATACTTTACTTTTAAAAATCACATTCAAAATTAGGGTTAGCATGTATTTCAGATATAAGGACTACAGAATTAAAACATGAGTGTTAAAAAAAAACATATAAGTATTTGTTACCTATCATTTTCACCGCAAAGTTTCTTGTACTTTGCAGCTACCGTCTCATGTTTTTTATTTTCAAGCAGCATTTTTTCCTGCTCTACTTTGAGCATTTTTTCCATATCTTCCAACTGTCCCTTCTGTTTCAATAACTGATTATAACTGGGGAAAGAAAGTTAAGTATGAATTTATAATTTCTTCAAAAAATTTTAGAAATAATGGAAATTTATTAATACACGATACAAAGCACATGAATTTATATAAACTTCCTTCATAAATTGCCTCTGAGATGTGTTTAACACACAAAATTTATTTTAGTACCTGAAGAAAATTTGTTTTAAATTAACACCACCACAAAGTATAATAAATTACCGGTCTTCGAGGTCTTTATGTTCTGCCTCAAGATTTTTGTGAGCAGACTTTAGAGTTCCATGTTTAGAGATGAGAGATTCATATTCTGAAGCCTGCCTTTCATGAAGAAGTTCCAGCTTTTCATGATCTTTGATGAGAGAATCATACAGAGATTTCAAGTCTTCTCGTTCTTTGATTATAGATTCATTTTCATTTTCTAAGGAAGACTGTTGAATTAGAAGTTGTGCGTTCTGGTTCATAAGTGAAGTACTTTGGGAATTAAGGGTAGAATTTTCAACCTGTAAGAATACATGTTAACAGACAAAAGGAATAGTTTATGTGGTTCTTCAAAACAGAAACAAAGGTTGTAAGTTTAATAGCTTAAGGAAACTAATAAGGTAATAGATTTATTCATATTATACTGGGAAATGTTGGATTTTGCTTTCCCAAATAAGGTGACCATTTTTGGAGGTACTAGATTAACATACAGATATATATATTTACATATATACATTATATATGTTTTGGGTTGTTTTGTTTTGGTTTGGTTTTTGGTTTTTTGACACTACGTAGTTGAGACTGACCTGGAACTATATAGCTCCAGCTGGTCTCAAACTCAGTGATTCTCCTGCCTCCCAAGTGCTGGGATTACAGGCATGCACCACCACCCCCGGCCTTAGGTTGGTTTTTTTAATTGAAGGTAATCACTACTTATATGGTAAAGAACTTAAATGCTAGTTTATCATTTCTAGAATTTGGGAATTGGCACAAAATTATATTTGGAAATTTTCTCAAGTTCAAATTAATCCCTGTTTTACCATCTGAAAAAGACATACAGAAAACAAAAAAAACCCTTTTCAATTCAGAGAAGAAACATGTTTCTGCCCTTTAAGAGGTTTGAGAGAGCTGCACTTTCCCCCACTACTATTGCTCTGTTTAAAAAAGACTGTCAGTTTTTATAAGTGAAAGATCCTTTGAACAAGGCTCACAACAAAATTCTCACTAACTAGGTAAGAAACCAGTAAAAATGAAATAAATAGTATGTTGCAACTATACTCTAAAGCAAGGGCTTCTATCTGATTAAAATCAGTTCTTAAAATGATGGAAAATGATCACAAAATAAATAAAATCATCTGTAATTCTCTGTATCTTGAGATGAATTTATTAATATTTGGAGGCTCTGATATGTAAAAATGGTAGTATTTGAGAGTTGGCAAGGAAGTAAAAATTTTTCATTTATTTCAATTAATCATCAAATTCACTCACTGAGAATATTTATATGGCTAGGCTCCCTTATTTTAATAGCATAATTCAAGAGTCTGGCATGTCCCCAAAATATTACAGTACAACCTGAAGCTTGGCATTCTGTGTTTGAAGAGTGGTATTCTGCTCCTGTAATGACACTGTCTGCCTCTGAAGTGCAAGAATCTGAGCCTGCAAGTTATTGTTCTGTGTTTCAAGCTGCTTCAGTTGAGTTTTCAATGCTTGTTTTTCTGCTTGCAGTGTAGCATTCTTTAAAAAATAGACCACAAAAATGAAAATTAAAAATATCAAACATTTTTAAAAATAAGATACTGGTATTTTGTTCAATGAGCATTTATTACTATTATAATTCAAAAAGAAGAATATTTAATAATTTTATAAATTCACCCTTTATCCTAGCTTATAAACAGAACTTAATCTAATAAAGAGCCAATAATACTAAATCTTTAGTGCATGTGCTGTCTGCTTTATAATGCCTTCAAATAAAATATTCCTTCATAAATACAGTTATTAACAGAAGGAAGTAGAGTAAGATTGTCAGGTTCAAGGTTATAAAACTCCTCAAAAGTATGAAGTGGGCTGTATCCACCTGTAAGGGTTTGCCTTTTCTACTTATCCAAAGGAAAATGTATATACAGGTGAGTGGGAGTCTCAGAGAGATCCACAAAACTAAGTATTTTCCAAATAGATATTAGGAGGGTTACAGAAACAATCTTAACTGTTAAAAACATTTAACCCATAATTGATCTAAAAGACATTACATATTTTCTTTTTAAAAATTTTATTAGTACATGATTATTACATCATAGGGAGTTGGCAAATGTACATAACACATCTTAATTCTTTTTATTTTTCAACCTCTATCCCTCCCTTACGCTCTCTCCATCTCTTGATTCTCTTCCTATTCAGAAAAGGTCTATCTCCCTATTTCCTATTATCTACGTTTTACTTTGGTCTTTATTTATACTTTGGGTTTCTCATGTAAAAGGAACCAAGCAGTATTTAAGCTTGTGTCTCTGATTTCACTTAACATTATGGTTTCAAGGTACATTCATTTTTCCTATAAATGACTTAGATATTTACTTTTCTGTACGGCAGACTGATACTCTATTGTGTATAAATACCACATTTTCTTTATTCATTCATCTGAAGGTTCTAGATGCAGCTTCCAAGATTTAGATATTATGAATTATATGCATGTATCACATGATATGGTATCTTTTGATAAGAAACCTAGAAGGGAAAAAGCTGGAGCAAATGGAATTGCTAGTTTTAATTTTTCTGAAAAAACCTCACAGTGATTTCCATAATGGTTGCACAAGTTTACATTCGAACCAAAAATGAAAAAGAGTTCCTTTCTCCCCACCACCCTCATCAGCATGTTATTTCATTTCTTGATGATAGCCTTTCTTTCTGGAGTAAGATGTCACTGTTGATTTGATTTACATTTCTCTAATGGCCACAGATGTTTAACATTTTTTTCATGTACTTATTGGCAATTTGTACTTCTGAGAAGGGTCCACTCTTTTCAGTTTCCTTCAATTTGAGGGGTCTAGTTTTTTCCACTTCTTTATATATTCTAGATATCAGTACTCTGCCTGAGGAGTAATTACCAAAAATTTTTCCACTCTGTTGTTTGCTGTGCAAAAACATTTTAATTTGATATAACTGTTACCTGTTGATTGATGTTACTTCTTGTGCAACTGGGGTGCTGTTCAGAAAAACCTTGCTTAGTCCTGTCTTCAAGAGGTATACTTAGTCTTCCAGCTGATTGTTTCTGCTTGAATATGTAGATCTTTTACCTACTTTGATTTTACTTTAGTATATGGCAGGAGATCTGGGCTTAGATTCAGTCCTTTATACATAGATAGCCAGTCTTCCCAGTACCATTTGTTAAAGAGGCTATCTACAACTTGAAATCTGGGATTGTGATGCATCCTCCTCTGCTCTTATTGCTCAGAACTGCTTTTGCTATTGTGGGTCATTTCTGGGACTGCATGAATTTTAATTGATTGTTTTATTTAGTTCCACAAGCACTGCTATTAGTTTTTTTATTGGGACTGCACTAAATCTATGTATCTCTTTTGGTATACAGCCATTCTGACAGTACTGGTTTGTCTATCCAGCAACAGGGGACAAATTTCCATTTTCTGATGTCTTAAACTTTGATCTCCTTTTTCAAAGTATGGTAATTTTATAGTTCCTTCACTTCCTTGGTTAGGTTAGTCCCTAATTTTCTTGATGCTACTGTGAATGGTATTGTTTTTCTAATTTCCATCTTGGTGAATTCATTATTCGTATACAAGAACAATACTAATTTCTGTGCACTGACAATATATCCTGCTACATTACTGAGTACGGTTACTCAATTCCAGACATCTCTTGGTGGTATTTTTTGGGTCTTCTACATAAAAGATCAGGTTATCTGCAAATAATAGACTTCTTTCTTTCCATTTTATTTCTTTCTCTGGCCTTACTGTTCTGCTAGCATTTTGAGTACTACACTGGTGATAGTGGACATTTTAATCTTGTTCCTGATTTCAGGGAAATGCTTTTAGCTTTCCCTAATTTAATATAACATTGGCAGTTAGTTTGTCATAAATGGCTTTTATCAAATTGAGATATTTTCTTGGTTTTGGTAATTCATACACACACACACATACACATACGCATACATGTATGTATATGCAATTCTTCTGGATTTTCCATGTGCTCAAGTACAGGTTTTCAAATTAGCTACTAACAATCTTCAGGATTTTGCGATATCTGTGTGATTTTTGCCCCCCCCCTTTTTTTGTTTTTTTGAGACAGGGTCTCATTATGTAGTTGAGACTGACCTGGAACTCACTATGTAGCCCAGGCTGGTCTCAAACACATAGCAATCCTCCTGCCTCACCCTCCTGAGTGCTGGGATTATAGGCGTGTGCCACCATGCCCGGCTTGACTTTTTCATTTCTGATTGCATTGATATGGGTCTTTTTTGTGTAAGCACATATAACTAAGAGTTTTTCTATATTGTTTACTCTATTGAAGAACTTCAATGACTTTTTTATCTTTCAATTTCAGTAATTTCTTCTCTGATCTTTCCTTTACTTGCTTTGAATTTGTATTGTTCGTTTTCTTCTAGGATCTGGAGATATGTTATTAGGTTATTTAGGATCACTGTTTTTCTGATGTGGACATGCACAGCTATAAATTCCCTCTCAGGACTGCTTTCACCGTGTTCCATGGGTTCTGCTATGTGTACTGGCATTATCATTTTCTTCTAGAAATTGTTTAATTTCTTCCTGGATTTATTTTGTGACCCAGTGATTATTCAAGAGTGTAATATTTAATTTTCACGTTTGTATAATTTCTCAATATTTTTGCCTCTGATTTCTAGTTCATTGTGCTATGATCTAATAAAATGAATGCGATAGTTTGATTCTTTTCCATTTACTTAACCATTTTTTTTTTTTTTTTGTACCAGGGATCAAATTCAAGTCCCTGTGTTTGTGAGGCAGGCAACTGAATCAATGAGCTAAATCCCCAGTTTAAGCATGTTTTTTTTGGTCTGTGAAAGTTCTTTGTGATGTTGAGAATATATATTCTGTTGCTGTTGGGTGGAACACTCTGTAAATATCCATTAAGTCCTTTTGTGCAAAAAGGTTTGATTCAACTCCAATACTTCTTTGTTGTTTTTTTGTCTAATTGATCTATTTGTGACAGAGGGGTATTGAGGTCCCCTACTATAATTGTGTTGATATTTATCTGATCTTTTGTATCCAATAGTGTTTTATGAAGCTGGCTATGCCAGTATTCACTGCATGTTTCTAACTGTTGTTTCTTCCTGTTCAGTTGTTCCCTTAACCAATAATATAGAAACCTTTTTGTTTCTTCTGATCAATTTTGGCTTGAAGCCCATTTTGTCTGAAAATAAAATAGCTACTACTGCTTGTTTTCAGGCTTCTGTTACATGGAATAGTTTTCCATCGTTTGAGTTTTAGTAGTACCATTTGGATTTTTTTTTTTTTTTTTTGATCCAGTCAGTTGACCTGTGTTTTTTGATTGGGGATGAAAGCATTCATATTGAGTTACTGCTGAATGGTATTTACTTATTCCTGTCATTACTCATTTTCCTGGTGCTAAATCCTTTTTTTCACACTATCTGCTTAACTACTCATTCTACCTGGTATACTCATTCCATGAGACGTTTTGGCATTGTTGACCTCCTGGTCTCTTTCTAGGATATCCTTGACAACTTTTGTGCAATGCTGGTTTTGTGGTCATGAATTTAAGGTGCTTATTATTTTTTTTTTAATGGAAAGACCTTACATCTACATCAATTTTGAAAGATAGTTCTCAGGATATATTAGTCTGAGCTGTAAGTTTTCTTATAGGGTTTGAAACACTTCTCTCCAAGCTCTCCTGGCCTTTAAGGTTTGTATTGAAATTACTCCTGTAATTCTTTTTTATTTTTTTGACTCCTGTAATTCTAATGGGTTTACCTTTATAAGTCATTGTTACTTTTCTCTAACAGATATTAAGATTCTGTTCTTCTGTTGGACTTCTGGAAATTTGATTGTGATGTGTCCTGGAGTTGATCTTTTCTGATCACGGCTATTTGGGGTACTATAAACCTTGTTTATCTGTGTATGTTAAATTCTTTCCCTATACTAGAATGTTTCCTGATATTATTTCTGTGAACAGGCTTTTAAAAAATGTTGCATGTACTGTCTTCTGATTTTTCACAAATTCCAAATAATCTTAGCCTTCTTTGCATCCTCTAGCAGCTGCTGAATCTATTTTCCCTGTTCTCTTGTTGTTTTTAAGATATCTCTAAGTATATGGAAACCCATATGAGTCCTGTCATCTAGTTCTGACACTGTCATTAAATTGGTTATTTCTAGTGCTCATACTTTCAGTAGAAAATAATTTCTCTCCTAGATTTCTGTTTGGTACATTTTCATATAATTCTATGCAAACTAGTTCTTTATGTTTTGTATCATTTTATTTAGCTCAACTGGCTTTTTATTAGTGTCTTCTATAAGCTTCCTATAATTTTATCAAGTCCACTATCTGTTTAGTTATATCATCTTTGTGTTCATCAAGGACCATATTGATGTGTGTGTGTGTGTGTGTGTGTGTGTGTGTGTCTCCTCTTTTATCATTTGGTACAATTTAGCTGTTTGGCTTTTGATTTCCTCCTCTTTGATGTCCTATGGGTTAGCTTTGGAGCCATTTTGTTCCCTTTCTCTCATGTTTTTGTT